GAATCAGGCCAAAATTTTAGCTTATGTGGCTCCTGAAGGTGAAGAACTGTATGAACCAGCAAATATGCCTAATCTGCTTCAAGAAACAGAAGAACATCTGGATGCTATGGAAACGTTTTTAGCCCAACCAGCGAATATGAAGGCATTTGTGAGTAAGACTGAAACCTATCCAAATGTACTTGCAATTTGCAGTGCACGTAGCTTGTAATTGTAGAACTTAATTATTTCTTTTCCTACTCACCATAGGTTTCGCATTTACGCCAAATGACCATTGATCAGTCTGATGAAGGGGAAGCCACATATTTCTTACTGAAGGAAACAATTAGCAACAATTTTGCCAGAACCATCAATTGGGAAGGGGGAAAGGGGAAAATTGCGTTTCGTTGAACGCTCTTGAATAGAGCTATTTGTGGTAAGAATATATCCTGCATCATTTTTACAAACCCCATCTTGTATTGATTATTTTATATTAATTACTCTCTCTCTGTTTCTTTATGATTTCAGCTGCTCAACTTAAACATTTTCCTGATGGAAAATTAAAAATCACAAAGAACAAAATTCAGCGGTGGTTTAGCACCAGTGGCCAAAGGGGGAAGGTGGTAGAACAGAATAATGACAGCGAGTCTGAATAAGTTGTTCATGTTTGATGAATGTCAGAATGTCATATTTATTTTTGCCTGTTCGTCTTTTTGAGACAAGAAATATTTATTTATTTTTGCCTGCTTGTCTTTGAGACAAGGAATGTTTATTTATTTTTGCCTGTTTGTTTTTGAGACAGGAAATGTTTATTCATTTTGGCCCGTTTGTTTTTGAGACAAGAAACATTGATTTGTACTTGCCTGTTCCCCATTGTTGTTTTTTTCTTTTGAAGTTATTGAGTGTGGAACGTTATTTTATGTTTTGTTACATTAAAATATTTTGACAAGCACAACAAAAGTTTGATGTGTTTAATTATGACCCATTCTAACTTGGGGTATATCCAAAGAGAAATTTGGTTTCAATAACAAAGGTCATTAGAAATCATTTCCATGTCAATATTACAGGTCAATTTTTATCATTTTGATGTCATTTTGATGTCATTTTGATGTCAATGTGACTCATGTCATGTTTAGTCCAAATGATGTCATTTTGAGTGCAGAAGGATGTCAAAATGGGGGACCATTTTGATGTCACGGTGACTTTTACTTGGTGACCATGATATGATGTCATCATGACATCAATGTGACTTTTCTTTCCTCCTTGGGTCGCACTGGATAGAATTTCTCCTGCTGATTTCCCCAGGATTTCTTTTATCCAGAGTTACAATATTTGTTTGTTCTAATCTTGAGAGGGGGGGGGGGCTTTACTGAAAGCCTGCATTTAGGAAATGTATTGAATTTTTTAAAATTCATAAAATTTAAACTGTAAAAGCTGATTTGGATTCCTCTTTTAAAAATTAAAAATAAATGTCTTGTACTCGGACCCGATCAGAGTCAAAATTGAGAAGTTAGTAAACCCCAAAGGGGTGAAAGTATGCAAAAACAACTAAAATGTCAATTTGGGGGGGAATAACTCTGCCATTTCGATTCCGATCATCTTGGAGCATTAGACGTTTTCGTTTTCTTTTGTCAAGATGAACCCGA